ATATTGCACAGCATAAAGAGATCATGTAAACAATGGACATCTGTTGGCTCCTGTGGGCATGACCTAAATAAGGCAGTTTATTTTGGTTTTAAAATGCTGAGATATTTACTGCAGAACTGTAACCTTCCCTCAACAAAATCATCAACAATTTTCGGGAGAATGTGGGCAAAGTAGAATGTGCGCAGCCTTATGATATGCCCCTGGACAAAGCCTTGGTCGTAGGGTACTTTGATTTCTAGGTGCTCAGTTTTGTTATGCCCTGTGCAGTGCATCCCAATTTGTACCTGCATGTAGTAGCCTTTTGGACCATTGCAGGCAATATGGTAATCTACCCTATCTCCGTTTGCCACAGTTGTGATTTCGCAGTTCTTTGTTGCCAAAAATTCTGCAAGTGACTTGTTTCCCATCACAGGTGATTTGATCTCCAACAGAATGTCGTTGTTTATCACTCCATCGGGAGATGCTGCAAGCCACGGTTCCTTTTCGCACACCACTAAGCCTTTGGTTTCAATGCTGTTGCCCAGAGTTTCCAAATAGTCCCTTGCAAGTTCCTCCCCCTCCGCTCCTTGACGGGTTGCGGCATTGCCACGGAAGGATGGGTGTAAGTGTTCTGACAAAAACTTGTCAGGCGCCGTGGTTGAGCGAATGGGCACCTTTCTAGCTGTGCTCACTCCGCGCATCATGCCAGACCTGTTCTTTGCTCTGTGCTTTTGTAGCCTTCTCAATCTACTCAAGCTGGGCTGTGGACATGTTAATGTATTCATCATAGAAGGTTCTGCATTTTACACAAGCCAGTGGTGTGTGGTGCTCTTCATGGTTTAGGAGATGGAGGTGTGGACATGGTGTTGGCTCGGTGATGGAGGAGGTGTTAGCATTAAAGCAGAGCTGCAGGAGGCTATTCCCAGGGCAATTGAAAAGTGCTGCCATTGGTGAGGCAAGTGCGTTCTTCCTCCACTCTTCATGAGTCCTAAAGAGTGTCACCTCCTGTGCCGGTTCTGGAGTGGTAGAGGATGGCGGTGAAGTTGGTGGCGGCTGGTAGAGATCCTTCCTGTTGTGTCGTTTGAAGCGGACATACTTCATCTTCCTCTGACCAGCATTTCTTTTAGACCCAGCATTCCACTGGTTCTGTCCGTCTGTGCAGGCACGCCCGGTTTTCCCCTGTCTCACAGCATTTTCTACCTAGAGAGATATAGTAAAAACAGTGCATATATATTATAATGGGTTCACTGCACACATGTCATATAATAATAATAATAATATGCCATTTAGCAGACGCTTTTATCCAAAGCGACTTACAGTCATGTGTGCATAATTTTTTACGTATGGGTGGTCCCGGGGATCGAACCCACTACCCTGGCGTTACAAGCACCATGCTCTACCAATTGAGCTACAGAGGATGTAACACGAATATGAAGAAAATGAGTTATTATCATAATTCAATTCAATTATGAGCGCGCTTATCTAAACGGCACCTAAAAGCTGTCTCAAAGAACCAGCAAAAGTAATGATTATGAATATGTAAAATATTGCAATGAGACATTTTAATTGTTTATTCATAAACAAGTGTTCGGTTCATGCATAAGCTCCAGTTCAGGCCGGAGCCTTATGTTCTCGTTATCTATTGTCTGTCTGCTATATTTATTTTTTATTTATTAAATCCAGGAATTTGGTTAATGAAACATTTATTTAAATTAAGATACAATTAATACAAAACAAAATTCGCTTTAAAGGCTTTGTTCTTTCTGTTTTGAGGTGTCTGTGAAAGTCTGAAAGTCTTTAGTGCCGCTTTCAGAGCGCTCACGTCCATAATGGAGAACTGTCGTAGGCCTAACATTGTTTTTTCCTCATAAATGCAAACACGAAAATTAAAACACAAAATAGTTTTTTTTTTAAATAACAAATGTATGGATTTATAGCGTTTTGAAAAGAAGACATAGGCCTAGGCTACAATGGTCAAATAATTACCTTCCACAGGATCGCAGCTGAGTGGGAACAAGATCTCCCTGGTCCAGCAACACACGTACATCCAGCAGTTTTGACTTCTCCAGCTTCAGTTACCAGCACCCAAGCATTATGCCATGCATTGTTCAAACACTGGCTAGGCTCTACATTTGCTTTCAGATAAACAAAACGATCATGTTTGTATGAAATGACACAACCGACTTTGTTGCTGTGCAGATATTGATATGCCTCGGAGGCTTTCAGATTGTCCATTGCTTTTCCATCTATTGCCATGGATTGCACGAAATAGGAGCAAATCTTGCTGTACGTTATGTTGGGCCACGTCGTCATGTTATCCTCCCAGTTCTGCACTGAATTCGGGTGGAGGAGAGTAACGCCATCTCCAGTCAAAGTAGTAGAACCGTGTTCCCAAGCTAGCGTCGACATCGCTGTGTTTACACCGGCAGACGTTGTACAAACAACTTCCGGCGGAAATGAAATGCATTTGTGTAGAGTTATGGCGCCACCCGTGATACAGCGCGTAAACTTGTCTATTGGCCATCTGGAAATTCTAGCAAATGCCAGATGGGCTGGACCATATTTTTGTTGGGTGGGCTGGGGTCACACAAACTCACATGCAATGTCTAACGTGGCATCAGCAAAGAGACCTGCTCCGACTCTGTCATCAGTTAGACAGCCAAGATCATGGATCATAAAGAGCATATTCTACATTGTCCCCTCACTCAAATCTTCCTATTTTTTGGGCGACTAAAACCATGATTTGGTCAAACAGTAAAGTGCATTATCCTCATCTGCACCTCCCCCTGGACAGACCGGGGAGCGCTCCCCTGCAATGGATACCCCCAAGCCCTCAGTGCCCTCTTCCAGTACCACACGCCAAGTCCCTCCCGCTGTTTTCACCAATGGCTGCTCCTGCTCTGGACCTCTTTAGCAAATGACAGGAGTGGAACGTAATAGCTGAACAGAGACGGCAACCAGGCTGAGTGAGTAGAGGAGGAAGGGAAAGGAAAGTGAGAAAAAGAGGAGACCTCCTCTGAGAGTGAACTGCCAGCCCACAGGAGGATAGACTGTTAAACAACGAAGACAACTCATAGAACAGGAGTTAAAGAACAAACAGCAGATCCTCAAGAAATTGCAACAGGAGGCAAAATCAGAACAGGAGGCAGAGAAGAAAAGGCAAAATAAAGAACGGGAGATAATGGAAAAGGAGGTTAAAAAGCGTTGGGCGCTACAGAGAATGAAGGATAAATAGAGTTTTAGAAAATGGAAGAGAAGGAAAGGACAGTGAGGGGGAAAAGGAAGAGAAAAATAAGCAAGAGAAGAAAGAGAGAAAAAGGGACAAGAGCAGGAGGCAAAAAAGAGAGCTGAGGAGGAAGAAACGATTGAACGACGAGGATGAGAAGAAGGAGAGGACAAAATGAGGAGGCGACAATTAAAAGAAAAGGAGCATGAGGTAAAAATAGCAAAGAAGAGGGAGGAGATGAGAAAATTAGAATGGGAGTTAGAGATGCATAGAATGTCTTACTGGGGACCACCCCTCCCAAAAAAGTGTGGCTTTCTGGGGCAGCTTATGAGGGCCATGAAATAAGACTCACCCTTTGACAACCTCTATTTCCAGCTTTTCCTCGCCAATCAGCAAAGGCGGGGCATCCATCTGTTTCATATTCATCATAATTTCTACAATCCCTTTTGTTATCAACCCTTCCTCAATTATTTCCTCTAATCAGCATCCTGATCATCAATAAATGGTCAAAGGCATTCAGTCCCTGTGAGAGGCAAATGCAACAACCCAACACCACACATCAATACTAGGCACTAAGAGACAGTTCTGGTAGTTAATGCAAAATGCATTTGATGCAGTTAGTTACCAAACAAATACATTGTATTAGACCTCTGATCACTTTAGATATGCATGATAATTCTCAGAGAAAATCCCCTATGTTGTAAAACTAGTTAATTTAATATAGTGATTAACAACTCTCAATGTATTGAATATGAACAAACCAACATTGAACGCATCTAAAAATGATCTAAAACGGATCAGTACAACTTCCACAGGGAGGCAGCAGAAACCAGCTGATAACAGAGCCACCCCACGGCACATATGTCAGTTCAACGTCTATTGTTGACTTACATTTGGTTGAGTTGTCAACTAACATGAAGTCAATGTGAAATCAACATAAAATGTCACCATGTCATTGGATTTAAGTTAAAAGTTGGGTGAAAAAGAGACAGAATTTCCTTACGTTGATGACTTTTTGAAAATCCAATCAGTTTTCCACGTTGATTGAATGCCATCGCTTAGATTTTTGTTTTTTGAAATGACGTAGAAACAATGTGGATTTAACCCGTTTTTACACAGTGCGACATACTGTGAACAGATCTCCACAACTACAGTATGAATACGGTCCAAGGAATTTGGTAGAATAATTATTATATTTCTTCTGCAGACCTATGCACCGTTGTTAATGGCCAACCTGTATCACTGAATATACAGCATCTTCCAATGTAACTGTTTGTCAAGTCCTCCATGTATAAGTCTTGGTAGTGATGGGTCAAAACAATCCTGGAAAATATCAGATTGTGACCATCCTTTAATGAAAAAACCTCTGCAACATCTCACTGGTAGAACATCTTGTCTGTGGTTTTATCAGTACAGCCACGTAGTGAATCTGATTTTTCATTGGTTCAAATGAGTTCCTCTCTGTTATTAAGGATTCTGTGTTCATTTGCCCTTCAATTAAAGTCTACACTGAGTTTGCACACACATGTATTGTGTTACTAAAATATTAGGATTGGGTGCTTTGGGAAATATTCAGATTATTTTGCAAACATGGTTGCTCTCCGTGTATTGTAGAAGTTAGAAAAATGTGTTAAAATACATTCCTCCCCACTGGGCAAAAACTGGTTGAATCAATATTGTTTCCACGTCATTTCAACAACAACAAAATCTATGAGACGATGTTGAATCAACGTGGAAAACTGATTGGACATGCAAAAGTCATCAAAGTAAGGGAATTTGATCTTTTTTTCACCCAACTTTTAACCTAAATCCAATGACATGGTTAAATGTTTTGTTGATTTCATGTTGAATTCACGTTAGTTGATAACTCAACCAAATGTAAATTAACACATCTGTGCCCAGTGGGTCTTTTTGATTAAAACTACATCATGCATAATACTGTTAAGCAGAATGACCTTGAGCTAGACTGGTGTGCTTGGCCCACTCTCTACATCTTAAGCTTATATCTAAAACAAACAAACAATTTTACAGTGTGATTACAGGTTTTAGGCAATGCAAAGTAAATGTGAAAATCAAGATGTCTGCATCGCTGGAGATAGCAACCCAACTCAGTTAGGGTGCTTACTAATAGAGCAAGATCTTTATAGTACAGTAAGCCTATCTATCTATTGTATCAGTATCTATTAGACAGTGCTTTGTAATCCAAAGGCCTTGTGTCTTGTGGATGATATCCAGAGAGGAGAGAATGAACTGAGGGAGGGATGCAAGTTCAGATGTATTGTTCTTCTATCTCTTCTTCTCCTTCATCCCTCCATCCTTGGCATATTGCCTGTTGAACTCAGCAATGTTATGATCTGTGGCCCCAAACCGATGCATCTGCAAGGCAGAAGGAAACAGACACACATGAAAACCTCATACCAGACCTTCCCAGTAGCAAGCCAAGAGTGTAAGCTAGTTGTCATGGAAACCCCAGTAGGCACAACCACAACCACACATTTTTAGTGTGGTTACTTTGGGGTCAGACAGAATCTAGAGGGAACTATTTTGGAGTTGTTTCAAAAAAATTATCTGAAGTTTTGGCGACATGCTACAAGTGGATCATTGTTGTAATGTAGGCAAAAAATAGGCTACTCTTCAGATTCAAAATGCTATTCAAAACTCATCCTTATCCAAACAGAGAGATGGCTTGGGTACATTCAAAAGTGCCAATTCTAGGATCCATTTAGACATGCCCTAAAAAATTCCATGTCCGCTCCAATTGACCAACTGAACACAACTGAAATTAACTAACCCCAACCAGCAGTGCTGAAAGGGTTAACTGGCGGCATCCTGTCCTCTCACCTGAATGAAACTGGGCCGTGCAGCAGAGGCCCTCCCCGCGTGCCGTCCGGTAGACGGGCGACACACACACTCGGGTAGCGGGGGGCAGGTGTGTGAGGCGCGTGGACAGTGAGTTGGGAGGCAGGTAGAGGGAGGAGCGCGGGGCGGCGGTAGAGCCGTGGCTGTCCTGTCCCTCCCAGGTGAGCCAGTAGCCCCTGAGGCCATCCACGCTGGCTTTCCAGTCCACCTGCACAGAGTCACTGCCCACCGTGGTCAGCTGCAGGTCTGCTAGAGCTGGCCTTACTGAGAAGGGATGGAGGGAGAGAGAAAGAGAGAGAGAGTGTGTGAATAAGGCCTATGTGCTGCGTTCATACACTTCTATGTGAAGGATAATAGTCAATTTTGCATTTCCCCCTTTTAATGTTTCAGTTTAAGCTTTGAGGCTAATACCATTCTGCATCTGTGCCTAAGAACATATCCTCAATGCTCTACGCTCCTTACCCTCCTCAGTGCACACTTTGACAGACATGGCCCTCTCCCGGCCGGAGGAGTGCCGTGCGCTCACGGTGACCAGGTACTGGGTGTCTGGCTGGAGGTTGGTCAGCACGGTGGAGTTCTGCCCTCGGCCCACAGTAGCCGTGTGGAGCTTCCCCCCTGGCAGGGCCATGTACTCCACCTGGAAGCTCTGGACAGACTCCGGCTGCAGAGGACCCCAGCTCACCCTCACACTGTTGGCCCCTGAGTCAGACACCGTCACCACAGCCGGACTCAACACCTCTGAGGAGACAATAAGTGATATGTAATACTATAATATTAAAATATATATAATATGGTGATTTTATTCTAAAGTGGAAGTGAAAGCTGGAATCCTTAACGGTGGAACTGCCATGTCCGTTTCCGATATTACAACAACAAAAAAGATACTGCAAACAACAAACAGTTTTTTTCCCCTCTGACATCATTGCACGCGCGATAGAACAGCACTGATTTTACCAAGATGCACAAGCTTCCCCAGCTCTACTCTTACCTGGCTTAGTGGTGAAGTTGACAGAGAGGGGGTTGAGCACCTGCAGGTTGGACTCAGGAGTTAGTGTGGCCTTGTATGTTGTGTCTGGTTTTAGGCCCGTCAGCCTGGCCGTGCTGGAGTCCCCTGGCCGGGTCAGTCGCTGGTACTGACCACCACTGGTACTTGGGCTGGTACCAGGCCCCCCTGTTCCTCCTCCAACCACTCCTAGACTGGGAACCGGTCTAAATCGGATCTCATAGTAACCGGTCAAACCGGCCAGAACCGGTCGCCACTGCAGCACGGCACTGTCTGTGGACACGTCTCGCACCTGGAGCCGTTCAGCCCGGAGGATCTCTGTTAGAGAAGAGACAGACTGAGACCGATGACCTGAAACACTGGTGGAATATACACCTCCAGTGGAGGCTGGTGTCACTTTAAATCGGAGGACATGCTCATTGTAATGGCTGGAATGGAATAAATGGAAAGTTATATTGGAACGATGGCGATTCCATATCATATTATCACAGTGTGCAGATTCCTTTCTCTCACTGGTAAACATTCATACTTGGATAACCAGAACAAGATGGCAAAAAAGAGAGGGCGGAAAGGGATGAGGATGGGAGGACAAGAGGAGCTCAGACAGACAGACTGACAAACTGTGTGTTCTCCCATGCATTTACAACTCATGCCATAAAAACCCTCGAAATAGACAACCCAGTTCTGAGGATACCACTGTAACAAATAGCAAACCCAAGAGAGGTTTCAGTATCAGCGGATAGGAACCTCAGGCACTCGCTAGAGGGATCATGGATTCTCCTTCTGTGTCGTAAACAAACTGTATTTACACTATGCGTCCGCCCATCGCTATGCATCATGTCTTAGAGCTACATATGTTTACTGGAAGTGCCTATGTGTCCATATGACTGTTACCCTATCTGACCAGAGAAATACCCTCTAGTCTATATATATCTGTCTGGCACCGTAGGGGGGCACGGTAGAGGGGGCTGGGTTGAATAATGTCTTTATTAATAGCCCCCCCCTCTCTCATTACAGTCTAAAACACACTGTCTCTGCTTCCTTCTATGTCCCACTGTCTCTAGGAGTGGGTATGTGATAAAGGAGTAGCATGGATACATGGATTTGTACAGCAGCACAGTTTATAGCAGAGCTCAAAAGAAGGTGTAAGGTCCATGTCAGTTGCAGTCAATTGTGGAATCAAATTGGACACAAACAGAACCCCACACACACTCACCAATAATGGCATCCCTCAGGTCCTCGGTGATGATACTCATATCATCTATGTCCACAAAGTACAGGTGCGACTCCACAGGAGGGGTGACCACCTGCCGCAGCACCTGGTAGTTCCCGTGGCCCGTGGAGATCACCAGAACGGACACGCCCTCCTCTCTCAGCTCCTTCATTGGTCCAATCACATCACCCGGCTTCACCCCATCCGTCAGCCACACTAGAACCCTGGGTAGATCTTCTCTGGCCCCCCCGCTCCCCCCGGGCTTCAGAACCCAGTCCTTGGCCAACCTGAGGGCCTCCTCTGTGTTGGTGTCGCCCCCCAGAGGCTTGGTGTTTCTCAGCGCCTCCTGGAGTCCCGTTTGGGTATTGTGGCCATCAAAGCCGAACTCGAGGCGGGGTTGGGTGCCCACCTGCAGTAGGCTCACCCTCACCTGGTCCTCGCCCAATGAGAAGGGAAGGAGGAGCTCGGACAGGAAGCGCAGCATGCGGAAGTAGTCATAGGATGAGACGCTGCCCGAGGAGTCCAATAGGAAGAGGACGTCGCCCTCACAGCAGTTCAACACTGAGGGGAGGGGAGAGGAGAGGAGAGGAGAGGAGAGGAGAGGAGAGGAGAGGAGAGGAGAGGAGAGGAGAGGAGAGGAGAGGAGAGGAGAGGAGAGGAGAGGAGAGGAGAGGAGAGGAGAGGAGAGAGGGTTACAGGTGGTGGACACACATTCAGTAGATTTTTACAGATATAGGAGAATATAGATACATATGTATAGGCTATAGCTACAGATTATCATGCTAATATTATGTGAAAATGAATAAGAATGATATGCTCAGAGAGTTTAAATGTAGCAACATTTACACCACTTACACCACTTCACGAGGGGGAATTTCTATAAGCATAGTGCTTATAATAAGTGTGTGCGGTTCACTACAATTAGTGTATGTGGGAAACAGGGAAACATAGTGGTATAGTTAGCTTACCCACAAACTTCCCATAGAGAAGTGGCAAACTCATAGCCACACCCATTTACAGGGATATGTACAATCCTAGAGCGAACTGAGACTGTGTGGAGCATCTGTGGGAAAACCCACTACTACTTCTAACTTTCGCTCTCTTTTCTCTCTCTCTCTCTCTCTCTCTCTCTCTGAATCCTTCTCCCTCCCTTAACTTTTTCCAGTGGACCCCTCCCTGTTCAGTGTGAGTGTGCATGCATGCAAGTACAAGCACACGTACATGCACAAACAGAAATGAGTGGAGAAGCGTGAACCGTCCTAAGAAAGTAAAGGAGTGAGAAACAAGTAATTACAGCAATAAAACCAGATCAAAACAAACAAACTAAAAATAGGCATGAAGTGAGATAGATTAGAGCAGGGGTGTGCGAATGAAGGACGGATGAAAGATGCTGTCATAACATTTAGAAAGACTAGGAAAAACATTCCAGATTTGGCCAATTTTCCATATTTCGTAACAGTAGCAAGAAGCATGGCTTCTCATTTAAGCGAGAGGGGGTTATGGGGAGAGAGGGGAGAGGGGGGAGAACAGTAGGAGCGGCTGGGTATTGGTGGTATAAGGAGGAGGGTAGGTTGGAGGTGGGGAGAGAGAGAGAGAGAGAGAGAGAGAGAGAGAGAGAGAGAGAGAGAGAGAGAGAGAGAGAGAGAGAGAGAGAGAGAGAGAGAGAAAGGGTAAGGGGAGGTGTGTTTTTGCAGTTCCATTTGAGAGAAGAGGAAGAATGTGCAGTAGCAGCCATATGTGCTCAGAGCAGAAAGAGAGAGAGAGAGAGAGAGAGAGAGAGAGAGACATGCCATGTTCGTTATCCAGATTTGAGTGCTTTTGAAATTCACTATTTTCTTTGGGACCTTAAAAGTGAATTTCTTCAGGCTTCAATTTGACGCTCGATGTGTGGTGGTTGTACTGACAACAGTGTAGTGTTGAAAGACGAATTGCAGTGAGTGTGAACACACTCCGCCATTCTCTCTTTCATTCTCTTGCTTCCTAAAGAATTCTCTACATCTGTCTTCTTGTTTGGACTTTGTACTCCTCTAGCTGCCTTAGTGGCCTCCAGGTTAAAGCTCCTGTAAAATGTACTTATGTATGTGTCTCTCTGGTCATGCCTATTTATTGTAAGCCAAATATTTGCCTTGTACAGTATTAGCTTTATTGCAGTGTCAGGTTTAGAGTACACCCTGAACAAGTTTGACTAATATATTAATGGTTACACACTAAATGTAAATTATGAAACCACAGAACCTTGGTGAGCATGGGAGTAACTGACAATAACTCTTTAGATCTGTTTCACGCATGCATGGAAGCTCACACACACAGAGACACACACACACACACACACCCACCCACACCCACACACACACACACAATGACAAGTGTGCGCTTCAGATTGACAGCCCAGATGTGATAGAAAAGGCCTCCTCCGCAGCTCTTCTTGATTCTAAAACATGATGTGGTTATATCACCATCAGTTGGCTATATGTAGGATCAAAATACATCCTCACAGGTGATTAAACCTGGATCAACTGTGCTTCTCAGCCAGTCCTTAGTATTAAAACCATTTCTATGTTTGAGTGAGATGCATAGAAAGTAATTAGGCTATGTTAGTCAAAGCATGTCTAGTCTATAAATGGAAGAGGGTGTGAGAAGTGTAATGTTCTGTAGCCTGTACATTGTATACTTACACTGAGTTATAAAGACAGACCACTGACAGATTTAATTGACTCACCACCAAGTTTAGTTTTCACCACTACAGTTATGAGCTCTAGCTAACACATGCATGGTTGTAACAAGCATTCAGTAATTATTATGGTGTTATAATCAATTAGATGTTTTAATTTACATCACAATAAATCATATGCATAAATACATTTAACATAGTGTTAAACTTCTCATTAAAAGCAAGGAACAGGTATCAACATAGGTTACTGTCAAAGTTGTAGAAATTCTATGACAGGTAGGCTATGATAAAATGATTGTGCCAATATAATAACACCATTTGGAGATCCTCTGGCTGCACCTCTCCTCCCTAATCTGTCAGTCATGTAGGTTATAACATCCACCCACCACACCCCACCACCACCAGACCACCACCTGCAAAGCTCACCTGCTTCTGGTGCAGAGTTTTGACCACAGGACGACCGCAAGAACACGCAAACCAGCATGCAAGTAAATAAAATCCGACTCTCCATTGCAAAGGTTAATTGCGATCAATTCCAGTATAAAGAATTATGATGATAACGAAAGGGCTTCCTCCAAAAAAGTGTCCATTGCCTGGACCGTCGCTCCAACTGAAATGGTAATCAGCCTTACACCCGGGCTATAAATTGCGTATTGGAGCTTCACAAATCCTCACTTTCACTCAGACTTTCCAGTTTTGTTTCTGCTTTTCTGGAACATTTTATTCTCGTAATATTTCCCCCAGAAAATTGGTTGCTCGGGTATCCTCCGTGAGTTTGTGAGGTAAAAGACGCCTTGAGCGAACTAGGGCGTAAGCGTTCAAGTCGGTTCTTCGCTCTGACTCAAGTCCCGTGTCCAGTACCTCCCCTTCCAGTGTTCACTATCTTCTTTCTTTCCCGTCTTTCAAGAGACTTCGAATAGCGAATCGCCAAATGTCATTGCTCTGGAAACGTGCCCATTTTCTCATAAAGGTTATCTTTACATTTTATGGCGAGTAGTCAATCATGCAAAAAGTGAAGAGTCTTGAAATTGTAATACAACATAAAGCATAATTTTAACTTTAAGCTTTGCAATTAACCAACGGAGATGTATAATTATCTGGATTCTGTAAACTTATCCTATTATAACTACGAATTTCAGTTATCCATCTCTTGTAATTATGGAGCCTTTTATTACCACTGACTTTCAGCACCAAAATCCTTTTAATGAGAGTGCCTCCTCAAGATAACAGGCCTACATGTAGGCTATATTCTATTTAATTTGTATGTGCATGCTTAGTTAAATCTGATACTATAAGATCATGTAAAATATTTTCTAAATATAGAATTACAGTATGCTGACAAACTGTTCACTGACAGGGGGACAAAAATAATGGGGTCAAGCTCTTGGACTTCAGCATCAACTTTGCTCAAGTTGGCAAAATAGATTCCATGAAATATTATTTTTCATTGAATTGCATCTTCCTATAGTGCCTCAGGGGAGACTTGGAGAATGTGATATAGGGATGGGGTCTATTTGAGAGTGAAAAGCAGGCAGCTTTTGTGTATATATATATATATATATATATATATATATATATATATATATATAGAGAGAGAGAGAGAGAGAGAGAGAGAGAGAGAGAGAGAGAGAGAGAGAGAGAGAGAGAGAGAGAGAGAGAGAGAGAGAGAGAGAGAGAGAGAGAGACAGAGACAGAGGTGAGGAGGAATATGTTAGAAGACGAAAGTGGGAATTAAGAGAAGGGACAACCCACTGGGCAAAAACTGGTTGAATCAACGTTGTTTCCACGTCATTTCAACAAAATAATTGAATGTGATGAAGTTGAATCAACGTGAAAAAATGATTGGATTTGCTCAAAGTCATCAACGTAAGGGAATTTTGTATTTTCTTAACCACATTTTAACCTAAATCCAATGACATGGTGAAATGTTTTGTTGATTTCACATTGAATTCACGTTATTTGATAACTCAACCAGATCAACTCAAATCAAAACTAGACGTTGAAAGGACTTCTGTGCCCAGTGGGAAAGGTCTGATGTCTGGAGACCTTGGTGACACCACATTACCCAAGCTTATTTCTATTGTTCCATTGTAACAGAACACCCCACCACACACCTAGTAACTAAACACTGAGTCTGTACAAAACAGTAAAAGATAGGCGCTGCTCTATGAAAGATAAGGAGTTGACCATTTCCAAACAGAATATTATGTTTTGTTTGACCAGCTTGGTTTCATAGACTAGACATAACATAGTAAATGTAGATCCGGGGCACTCAAATTAGTATGATATGTTACATTTGGTATGGTTACATAAGACAGTATGGTTACTTAATGCAAAAACGAAATGAGGGTGGTTGGTCGGGGTAGGTGGATGGATGGGTGTAGAACGCGAATGTCTAGCAACCCAAAGGTTGCGAATTCGAATCTCATCATGGACAACTTTAGTATTTTAGCTAATTAGCAACGTTTCAACTACTTACTACTTTTTAGCTACTTTTTAACTACTTAGCATGTTAGCTAACCCTTCCCCTAACCCTAACCCTAACCCTAACCCTTTTAGCTAACTCTTCCCCTAACCTTAAACCTTTAAACTAACTCCTAAACTTAACCCTAACCCCTAACCCTAACCCCAAGCCTAGCTAACGTCAGCCAGCTAGCTAACATTCGCAACCTAGCCACCTAGCTAGAATTTGTAATGTATTATACATTTTGCAAATTCGTAACATAACATGCACTGCTATTTCAGTCTGTCCCAAGTCGTTGACTGCCAGTAATAGGTTCCCACTTCAAAATGGACACGGATAATTCATTTATCTTATATTGAGTGGCTGTTTTGAATCGTCTTTCCCACAGACTAAACTTGCCCTAACATGCAGTGTTGGGGAGTAGTGAACTACATGTAGTTCAACAAGCAATTTAATAACATTTTGCAGTAGCCTGGTGGTAGTCAAACTATTTTTTTCAGTAGTTAATTGCTTTTTTTGCCATGCAGTGGTGTAGATAACTATTGGAACTTAACACTACTTTTTTTGCAACAAAAAAAATATTGGTGAAATAGGCAATAATTGCCTTTCTTTTTCAGCATCAGACCTGCCTAATTCTCACTTGAAACATCGTTTTTGTGTTTAATAGGCTAAATTACACTTTCTGTTAACATACAGTATGACCCTAGAGTGATCTGTATTGCAATTTGTAGTCTATGACATTTCAGATTTACATATGATAATTTTTCACTTTTGGTAAACTACACTGAACAAAAATATAAACGCAACATGTAAAGTGTTGGTCCCATGTTTCATGAGCTGAAATAAAAGATCCCAGAAATGTTCCATACGCACAAAAAGCTTATTTCTCTCAAATTCTGTGCACAAATTTGTTTACATCCCTGTTAGTGAGCATTTCTCCTTTGCCAAGTTCAGGTGTGGCATATCAAGAAGCTGATTAAACAGCATGATCATTACACAGGTGCACCTTGTGCCGAGGACAATAAAAGGCCACTCTAAAATGTGCAGTTTTGTCATTCAACACAATGCCACAGATGTCTCAAGTTTTGAGTGAGTGTGCAATTGGCATGCTGACTGCAGGAATGTCCACCAGAGCTGTTGGCAGAGAAGTTAATGTTCATTTTCGTTTTAGAGAATTTGGCAGTACGTCCAATCGGCCTCACAACCGCAGACCATGTGTATGGCGTTGTGTGGACAAGCAGTTTGCTGATGTCAACATTGTGAACAGAGTGCCCCATGGTGGTGGTGGGGTTATGGTATGGGCAGGCATAAGCTACGGACAACGAACACAATTGCATTTTATCGATTGGCAATTTTAATGCACAAAAATACCGCGACGAGATCCTGAGGCCCATTGTGAGGCCCATTTTTTTAAAAGGTATCTGTAACCAACAGATGCATATCTGTATTCCCACTCATGTGAAATCCATAGATTAGGGCCTAATTAATTGGTTTAAATGGACTGATTTCCTCATATGAACTGTAACTTAGTAAAATCGTTGAAATTGTTGCATGTTGCGTTTACATTTTTGTTCAGTGTATCTTTTCAGTGAACTATCCTTTCAGAGTAGCTTCCCCAATACTGCTAACATGCTGACACCACTATATAGTACACTGCTTATCTCAGCAGATGGGAGTCCTGCTCTTTGAACTGTCCAATAAGCAGTAAATCAGTTTGAAATACCCACCTGGAATAACTTTGTATTGGTATGTGTGTACTGTATGTGTGTGTGTGTGTGTGTGTCTATGGCATGCAGGTTTTGACTAATGGATCAGGTGAGTGGCTGTGCTGTATGCAATTCACATCACATGTTGTTACAGGGGGACCAGAGGAAGGGACATAGTTTCAATCCCACACCAGTTCATGTCGACACATTTCTATCTTCTCTCAGTAAGCATAGGTTATGCAACCAAAGTGGTTATCTGTTTTCACTTATTTGCACATATCCTAGCAATCTTTGTGGAAGAGTAGTTATGCTCCTCTGAGATTCACGTCTTTCTGGTACAGTGTCATTGAAAGCAATTGGGCAAAGCTGCAAAGAGAGGTTAGTTGACCATTTTTGGCAGCGGACAAGGCAATAGAAATAAGGGAGGAAGGGAGGTGAAAGAGTAAGGGCGGTGGAGACGGACAGATGGATGACAAGTCTCATATGACACCGCCAAGCCCCAACCCTCACAGTGTGACAACATGGAAACACAGACACACAGCATTACGTGAGTGGAGGGACCTATTTTGTTGAATTCTGAACATTTCAAATCAAATCAAATCAAATTATATTTGTCACATACACGTGTTTAGCAGATGTTATTGCGGGTGTAGTGAAATGCTTGTGCTTCTAGCTCCGACAGTGCAGTAATATCTAACAAGTAATATCTAACAATTTCACAACATATACCCAATACACACAAATCTTGTAAGGAATGGAATTTAAGAATATATACATATATGGACAAGCAATGACAGAGCGGCATGGACTAAGATACAGTATAATATTATAGATTAGAAGACAGTATATACATATGAGATGAGTAGTGCAAGATATGTAAACATTATTAAAGTGACTAGTGTTCCATTTCTTAAAGTGGCCAGTGATTTCAATAGGCAGCAGCAGCCTCTAATGTGCTAGTGATGGCTTGAAGTTCACACAACTGCTTACCATTTGTTATTGGGTTTTATACAGTCTCTTGACACTTTGTCAGCGCTCCTGCTGTTATTTACCATTACAACTTTGGCTCCAGTGCTTCTGGCATCACAATGGAAACACCATTTCAGTAGTAAATACAATTTTCTACTTCACTCCTTGCCAGTTTTCCCCCCTTCTTTGGTGAGTTTGAGGAATTTGAGGTTTATGTAGCGTGTCATGTTCTGTAGAGTTGTGAGAATTAAGAGGTGGAGTGTTGACTTTCTCCAGACCTTTCTAGGTAAAACACAAACTGCAGCGCAAAGATAGGAGACAGGCGATGAATGAGAGGAGAGATTGAGCACCTATCTGATCGGGAGAAGAAAGAAGAAAAGTGGGTCAAAGGGAGATAAAATATGAGAACGAAGAACAGGGTAGATAGCGATCTGATTGGGACAAAGTAGAGCAATTATTAATCCCCCAATCTGCTGGATGTCAGAAGCAAGCCCAAAGCACTCACACTCACAGACAATGCATGCTGGACACTCATGTGTAAGCTCATGCACTATTTTTGATTTGGACACCAGACATAAATAAAAGTATAAATAAGTTAGGAGGGGGAAGACAGAGGGGTTTCCCATCACTGGGCCATGTTGAACTTAATTGCCAAAATGCCCAGCGTCTTCCTGACATGCTCTGACCTTTACGTTCCTGCGTCACTGTATCTTCCTGCTCTTCATGGGGTCTGCATCCTGCCCATTGATCATCATGCGAACTTTGTTACCAGG